ACTATCTGGCCGACTGATTGGAAGAGATCCATATTTGTGCCCATTCCAAAGAGGGGTGACCCAATGGAATGCAGAAATCATTGGACAATCTCTTTGATATCCCATGCAAGTAAAGTTTTGCTAAAGGTAATACAGAAATGGCTGCAAGCATACATTGACAGAGAACTTCCAGAGGTTCAAGTTGGATTTAGAAGAGGCCGTGGAACAAGGGATATCATTGCTGGTGTCCAATGGGTCTTGGTTGAAAGCAGAGAATATTAGAAAGATGTTTACCTGTGCTTTATTGCCTACGCAAAGGCTTTCCATCGTGTCAATCATGACAAGTTATGGACAACATTGCTAAGTATTAGTATTCCAGAACACTTAATTGTGCTCATGAGGAATCTATACCTGGAACAAGAACCAGTTGTTCAAACAGAACATTGGAACACTTAATGGTTTAAAATTTTAAAAAGGTGCGTGACAAGGTTGTACTCTTTCACCATACTTATTCAACCTGTATGCTGAGCAAATAATCTGAGTAGCTGGGTTCTATGAAGAAAAACATGGCATCAGGATGGGAGGAAGACTCATTAAGAACCTGTGATATGCAGATGATATATTCTTGCTTACTGAAACTGAAGAGGACTTAAAACATTTACTGATGAAGATCAAAGAGCACACAGCCTTCAGTATAGATTACATCTCAATGTCAAGAAAACAAAAATCCTCACCACTGGACCAATAAACAACATTCTTCTCAACGGAGAAAAGATTGAAGTTGTCAAGGACTTCATTCTTCTTGGATCTACTATCAACACTCATGGAAGCAGCAGTCAAGAAATTAAATGACGTATTGCATTAGGCAAATCTGCTACACAAGACCTTTTTAAAGTGTTGAAGAGCAAAGATGTCAGGTTAAGGACTAAGGTGTGCCAGATCCAAGCCGTAGAATTTTCAATAATCTCATATGTATGCAAATGCTGGACAGTGAATAAGAACAACCATAGAAGAATTGATCCTTTTGAGTTATGGTGTTGGAGGAGAATATTGCAAGTGCCATGGGCTGCCAAAAGAACCAATAGATCGGTTTTGGAAGAAGTGCAGCCAGAGTGCTCCTTGGAGGCCAAGATGGCCAAACTTCGTCTCTCATACTTTGGACATATTGTCAGGAGGGACCAGT